CCTGTTGTAGCAGGCAAAACTTAGACAAGATGTTTGGTGCAGTATTTGCTAGAGAGCAGATACTCACTAGTCTAAGAATACACATCCACTGTTGTGTGAGGAACTTGTAGCCTTAACAACTATATCTTTAAACATGATAATTTCAGATATTAAAAGAATCCCATTAGATTTTTGGTGCGAGTGACTGCTCTCCACAGGCATCCTTTGTGTTTGCATCCCCAGCTCAGCAAGCTCTGTGTGCACACACGTGCCGTGCTTTGACTGGGATATTTTCCCTCCCAGCAGCCCAGTAGGATTAGTGTCTGCTGTGCTCCAACCCCACCCATCTGCCCTGTGACCCAAACCATGCATACCTTTGGGATCTGCTTGCTTACTGAGCAACTTTTTGTACACTGCTTTCTTTCTGACTCTAGACAGTAATATGAGAATGAGCTTTCTAGCTTTTGATTTCTGTAGAAAAAGGCACGAGGTAGGAAAATAAGTCTCTCTTAAGAAAATACGCTTTTTGAAAGACTAAAAGAAGTGGCACTGTGAGTGTAAGGAAAGGTAGGCCTGAGGCTTAGGATTCATCACTTTAAACTTCATTTTGATCTCATGTTTAGCTTTTGCTAAAAAGTAAAGCCAATAGCATTGGAAGGATTTTTAACAAAATTTAATTAAATTTAATTTTTTAAAATTGACTCTTGATAAGAATGGAAGAACCCCGGGGAACTGGGATATATGTGCAGTGACAAACCCATAGATGTAAAGAATTTTAAGATTTGGAGAGGGAGAAAAGTAATTTGTGGAGGTGATTTAAATTTATTTACAGAATTTAGTCAAGGTAACTCTAAGTAGTCAGGCTTTGACCCTTGGTGGATTCAGTTCCATCTCAAGTCTCTTGAGTAATGCCAGGTAATACTTTATCTGTCTTCCTCCTTCCCATTGGTGAGGGGAATGAAATATATCAGTTTTAGGCACCTCATGTTGTGCGAAGAGTGGATATGCATGTGGCAAGATGTTTATGAAACTCTGTAATACACTGTTTTCATATGAATCCATGTAAAACCGTGGAACCATCTCACCTGTTTGTGTCAGTTGTCTTGCACTGAGTTTAGTTCATAACTTCTTTGGGCCAGAGCACAGCTCACTTTCACTAAGATCCCGTGGGGTTCCCCAGATGGAAGTGGCCCTCGCTCCCCCGGCAGTCAGGAAAGCTGGGGATCTTCAGTGAGGGTTGTTCTTTCTGGCCTCAATCCTATGATCTACTATTTACACCTTAAACTTCATTGTGCAGTGTGCAATTGCTGGATGCCCCTTTCCAGTAAAAGCACAGGAGGCTTTAGAGTTGCAATTGTTTCCTTAAACAACTGTTGCCTTCCTAAACCTGGAGAAGTGGTTGTTTGTCTTCTCTTCCTGTATTCACGTAGTTGATTTGATAAAAAGTGAACTTGCAAAACTTCAGACCAGGGCTGAATATTTTTAAAAGATCAACATTTTAAAAATAAATTTAACATGGATTTTTTTTCATTGGTCCACTTAACAGCCTAAGGGTAAGATTGTTACTTCTGAATATTTTCCCTTCTCCTTCCAGACTGACAGAATTGACCACAGTTTTGCGGTGGAATGGATGCAGGACTTCGAGACTTTTCAGGATGCCCTGAATCAAGAGACCTCCTATGTCAGTAACCTGCCTCGTTCTATGAGTTTAGTGTTGGATGGATTTTACAGTTCATTGAAGGTAAAGGTTTTCCTTTTTTTATTACCTCTCCTAAAAGCCTGGAGAAGAGCAAGTTCAAGGAGAATTGTTTTGATGTGTGTAAATGCCTGTAGGAGGGTGTAAGGAAGGCGAGCAGCAGACTCTGTTCACTGGTGCGTGGGGAAAGGACAAGAGACAACAGACACAAGGTGAAATACAGGAAACTGTGTTTAAATGGAAGAGAAGAAAAAATGCTTTAATTTTACTAATTCTGCACTGCAACAGATGGTCCAGAGAAATTGTGAAGTCTCCATCCTCGGAGATGCTTAAAACACTTTTGCTCAGGCAAAGTCGTGAGCAACCTGTTCTACCTAATCCTGCTTTTTGAGCAGGAGAGATTGGACTAGATGATCTCCAGGGGTATTGTCCAACCCCCACCATTCTGTCCTTCTGTAAAGGGGCTTTGCACTGCCCCTTTGAACTGGAATCTGTTGATGACCTGTGTTGAGGATTTGCTGATTTGAACATGCAATAACTTTAGCAGCTTGTCCCACTGAATGGCAGCCTGAATAATTTAATATTGAACTGTGATTAATCACGAGATGAAAGCTAAGATAGGCTGGTAAGAGGCAGTGTTCTTTGCTGCAGCATTTCCCACCTGAGGTAATTTTCCTTGTTCTGAAAGTGTCAAGTACAATTGGGCAATGTACTACATAGGAAGAAGGGAAAGAATCTCAAAAACAAATAAATGAAAAAAAAACCCTTTATATTTGCTTGTGCAAGAAGAAGATTGTTCTTCCACTCAACCAGGTTTTGAGAGGACAAATTAATTGTTTCTCTGACAACACCATACATTGGAGGCTGTTAATGATCCCATAGTCTGTGCTACAGGTTTTAGCTGATTGTGTTTGTCATCAGCTTTTACTAAAGAAAAAGCAAACCTTCTTGGCTGTGTGGATATTACAGGAACAAAATGATTCCATTCATGTAGATAATGATAACAGAGCCAAAACAAAACTATTGTAAGTGTCCTATGTGGAACAATATACAGAATTTCAAAAGGGATTGTAGTGGTCCCATGTACAGAACTAACATACTTCCTGTTCCTTATTTGCTGCTCAGGTCATATTTATGTGCCTGTCAGAACTGTGAGAGCACTGGATGGAGAGCAGGTCATATGAGGAGGATGACAGAGTAAAAGGCAGCTTGTACTTAAGTGCAGGGAAAGTATAAATATTTATATATATTGGCACAGTGCCTCACCCTAATGCTTAAAATCCTTTGGAGAGCTGTCTGCATATTGACTGTATTAATGATCAAATGCAAGGCTGTGTTGGGAAAGGGCTTCCATTTGGAAGTCAGTAGTTGAGACTGTCTTGCCTATGAAAAAGAGGGAGAATTTTCATTAGAGGATGTAGGATTCTGGCTGGTAATAGTCTTAATTCAAGGTATTTTTAGATAATTGATTTCATACAAGCAGAACAAATGGCCAGAAGTGTAATGAGAGACAAGTTGAAGTTAGAAAGTAGATGTGCATTTTGAATGTATTGTTATAGCAACTGATTAAATTCTCCATCTCTTGCTGTTCTGGGGACCTTTTTAACGTGCTTTGGCTAAATAAAAAGTATTAGACTATTTCAGAGCCAAAAGGTCAGTTCTTGTTGTCTCTTTTGCACTTTAGTACACTGGTACTTGCTAACCACTTACAACCCTAGATGCAGAATGAGAACTTGGGTTATTAACAATAAACAAGTAAACAGCAGAAAGACTTGCCCTTTCTTTGGAATTGCCCTATGGTGTTAAAAAATACCAAACAAACCTCCTTCCCCAAAGAAACACCCCCCAAAATACCCCAACAACTCACCCAACAGAAAATCACCGACAACCAAAAAGCAGAAGTAACAAACATGAGCAGCAAGTGGAGGAAGAGTTTGAAAGCGGGATGGACAGAAGCAGAAGTGTTACTGCCCACTCTTGGGCCACTGTGCTGATTAAATGGCTATTGTTAGGTTTAGATTAGTAGTTATTTGTTGGGGTTTTTAGTGGTGTTGATTTTTTTGTTGTTGTTGTGGGGGATTGTTTGTTTGTTTTTATTTTGGTTTTTTTCTGTATTAAAAATCTGGCTCAGTTACTCTCTAGTTCTGGTGTGTTTTCTTTTCCAGGTGGTTGGTGTTTCTGCAGTGCTTGGCACAGGACTGGATGAGTTTTTTATCCAGCTTTCTAAAGCTGTAGATGAATGTGAGAGGTAAGGGGATAACTTTTGGTCTGCAACCCAGTGACCACTTCCTGAAGGTCCTGATTCATGAGTCTGCTCCTTTGATTTGAAGGAGTGTCCAGTTGCCATAGCCAAGGTAGCTTAGGGTGTCCAGTATCAGCATAAAAAGCAGCAGTAAAAAGGAACTATTCAGAGATGAATTTTTGTGCTGTTCCATGAAAAAGTAAAAGCTATCTGTGCCAGCAAATCTGTGAAGTAATTCTTTTCTTGTAATTCCATACCAAGGTTTGAATTGTTGCTGTTTTAATGAAGTATGTTCATTGATTTTGCATCCATTGGTTTCAGAATCCAAATATGGGGAAAAAAGTACTGTTAGTCTTTCTGAAATGTCTCTCAAACATGAAAGCCTAGAGAAAACTTTTTTGGGGGTAAAAAGAAGCCTCCAGGATGATCCTTATGTAATACAAATCATGTGTTTTTCAGACTGAATGCACTCTCTTTATTCACCTTTTCAGAGAGTATCGTCCAGCATACGAGCGCCTGAGAAAAACCCTGGTAAGTGTTTTTAGCTGTTGTACACCTGAACAGTGTATCTCGGGCTCACTTTTATGCACACAGTTGCCTGTATGTTGAGAGGGTCTGACATTTCATTTACTACTTGTACTCATTGTGGGAAAACTCCTGTCCTGAAGGAGTTCACCATTTGCCTTTTTTTTCCTAGATGTGGTGGAGCATATCTTTACAAAAATAAAGATTTTGTAAAACAGATGTTGTTCACTGTTTTAGTGCTAATATTTGAGCTAATTGTGAGAAAACGATTGGGAAATAAGATTGTGTCTTTCATTCAGATGGGTAGAGAGTTCTTAAAACTAAATTTCCAAAGGGATTTGCTGAGACCATCCCTGTATCCTCCTGCCCCAGTGAAGAGTACTAGTTTGACTTAGTAAGAAAGACTGAATTGCAGTGCTAAAATCAGTAGCTCTGCTCACCTTGAGTTCTGGCTGTCCAGAGGACAGTTCTCTGCAGGCACAGCTACACAGAGTTTGGCTTCCCGGCACTGCTGAAAATGTCCTGGAATCCCACCTTACTGGAGGTTGCTTTCCATGCTTAGTCAGAAGTTCTGTGTAACCTCAGTTGAAATGTAAGACCTGCACAGTGACTTCTGCTCTCTGACTGGGGGACAGACTGCTGGGTTTGGGTGAGGTTTCTCTTCTCCTGATGTTTTAAATGTTCTCAGAATCCACATGTAAATCTTTATCTACAGGAGGAAGCTGAAAATAACCAAAAGAGAGAGCAGCTGGAACACTTGTGGAAGGACATGGGCAGTGTGTGTGTGCAGGGCAGCACACTGGCAGGTACCTCCCCAGGAAGATAAAGGTTACTGCAGAAGTTTTGTGAAGAGTTTGCCTTGTGCAGTAACACGGTGCTTCTTTGTCCTCACAAGAAGTGTGAAAGCAGCTCCATGTTAGAGGAGTGGGGCTTGAGTTCCTGTGGGATTGGTCACACTCAGCTCTTCCTGTGTCAGTCACAGGTTTGGAAGAAACCCCACTGTGTAGCTAAAGCAGTGGACCGACTAGAAATGATGAAATACTTTAGAAAAGGTGAAACAGTCAGTCTAGAATATGAGGAAGCTCTGCTGTTGGCTGCTCTGTTCCTCATATGAGGCGAGTAGGTGCTGATGGAGTCTGTCCTGTGTCTGGGATCCACAAGCAGCTTTCTGTCCCCTTAGAGCAGGTGTTGATTGCTGTGTTTCTGTGCAGATGGAAACCTTACCTTTAGCAAGCTGGTTTGTGTACAGCCGTTTCTGTTCCCTTCAAGGACCTGATGCTTCTGCAATGGGTCCCTCTGAGCTCATACTAACACAAGGAACTCTCGATGAAGGGCAAGAAGAGAGGGAGAGTGACACTGATGACTGACCATGAAGGTAAGGGAATGAGGTCTAAAAGCTGCCTGTCTAGTCAAGAAATCCCCTCTATATTTCATGACCTGGATGGGCTGTAAGGAGAGCCTAGAAAACAAGCCAACATTCAGTCACCTGACGTGTCAGAATCTGTAGCAGAAGCTCAGCTGCAATGGTCGGTCCAGGGATATCACTCTGTAACCTTTGTGAAAGTTCAATTGTAAATTTTCTATTCATGTAATTAACAGGTGTATAACACACATAAACCAGAGAACTTGTTAGGCTTGGGGTATGTAGTGACCTCTGAACCTGACTGATGCACAGATGTGTCCATCATCTTTTTGGCCTTACAGCTTCTGCCCCTGGCTCTCTTCCCTTTTCCTGTGACTGTGGTCTTGGAGCAATCTTCTAAGTTGTTACAGTGTGATTTTTCTCTTATATAGCTCACAATCTTCATTCTTTCCCTGTTCCACTGATGGGTAGGATCACTTATTTCCTTTGCCCTGTAATGTAGTTGAAGATGGAATAGACTTTCTATGTTGCTTTGGCTATCCTGATTCTAGTTTTTTTTCAGTAACACAAGTAGAACAAGTACTGAAATAGCGCTGAACTGTCGTTTCTTCCCCCAGTGACTGAGGAGAGTCATGAAGAACCAGCCTTCAGAAACTTTGTGCAGGACACGCGGATGAAATGCCAGAGGAGAAGCAACGCGAATGAATGAGACCTGCAGAAACAGAAGGTTTGGAATCACTTGTAATGGAGTTAAAACTGAAGGAACAGCATAAAGAAACTTGCATGGAACTTTTATCTGTGAACAGCTTCCTCTGATAGATTTTTATTTTTCTTTCTGCAGTAGCTGTTGGTCCGATGAGTTAAAGGTCTTGCAGCCAACTGACTGCACATTTGGCCATCTGCCACTGTGGCTTCCTGAAGCTGAAGGAACCAGAAAGCAGTTTCTTTTCCTGCAACTTCTTCAGATCTCTCTGTTGAGAGCTTAGATTTTGAGCTCTGACAGCGTTAGCATCCAGAGTACCCACTGGTCCCCAGAGGCACCTTCCGTTTGCTGAGTGCAGTCAGGCATCTGCTGCAGCCAGGGCACAACTTGGTCGATCCACTGTTTGATGTTTTGGTTTTCATTAAGTAGATTTTACGTACTAAGAAATGCGTGATGTTTAATAGAAGGAGATTTCATGTCACCATTCTAAGGTGAGACTTTTTCCCTGTGCTTGCAGCCTGTCCGTATGGATGCACAGCAAATGCATCTTCAGTATTTTACAACCCTGCAGGTTACCTGGTGAAAACAGGGAGGTCCCTTTGCCCACATTGCCTTTCTCTTGCCCCTCTCCAGCCTGAGGCCACTCCTCTGCTCACTCACTCTGGCCTCGCTGTGCTACACGATGCCTCTTCTGTTTTCTCCAATGGCTGCTGCCAAGAAAAGAGGACACAGTGAGTCCCAAGTGCTGACCCCTCAGCACTACACCTGGAGAACCACTCTGCCAGCCCCTCAGTGATTCCACTTCCACCCCTATCCCCATACGCTGGGATAGCTACTCTGGGGCTGAAGCTGGAATAGAGTTTCTAGAGCTGGACCTGAAGTAAACATCCTGCTCTGATCAAGGAGCAACTTCACTTGGTGGGGGGAAGACGTGGAGCTGGAGCTGAAATCACTGCAGGGCGGGGATTGCAGAGAGGCAGTCCAGAGATTGGTTCGCAGAAGCTGGGCACAGATCAGCATCAGCGGGGACTGCGCGGGAGAGGGAGGGTGGGCAGCGAGCCTGTGGGGGCAGGGGGATAGGGGTGGGGGCGGGCACTTAACGATTTCGGCCAGGGAGCTGATCTCAGCCACCACCCAGTCGGGGCCGTCTAAGTCCCCGCAGAAGCAGAACTGCTGCA